AGCCATCCACCTGAAGACGGCTGCGTTCCTCCATCTAGTGCGGAGATCATGGACGTTGGAGGATTCCCCCCAAACCTCAATCAGGTCCATGATCTCTACACTGGACCAGGAAGGCGCCCGCCTTTTTTGGCCAATGGCAGGCTCCTGGGAGCTGGTAGACTGCTCCTGGGGAGCGGTGGAGGGCTGGCTGGCACCGGGTGGGCCCCGGGACCCCCCCCTCCTTTTTTGGCCAATGGCAGGCTCCTGGGAGCTGGTAGACTGCTCCTGGGGAGCGGTGGAGGGCTGGCTGGCACTGGCTGCCTCACTCATGTTGAGGCAACTGGGTCAGGGGCAGCGACTGCTGGCTCTGGGCTGGCAGGCCTGGAGCTGGCACAGGCACTGTGGCCAAACAGACTCTACCCCTTTAAGGGCTCCGGGGAGGGTGGGGAGGAGATGAGTTTTCCTGGTCGTGGCCAAAGTGGCCACCAGGGCACCCTGGGAAGGGCTGGAGGCCCCCTATTTCAAAATAAGTGTCTATGCAGCACTTATTTTGAAATAGCAATTTCAAAATCGGTGTTATTCCTCATGGAATGATGTTTACCAATTTTGAAATAAACCCTGTTATTCCTTGTGGAATAAGGTTTACCAATTTCAAAATAAGCCCTCTGCTATTTCAAATTAATTTTGAAATAGTGGTTGGCTTGTGTAGACGCTAGTGAAGTTTTTGAGAAATAATGGCTGCTATTTTGAAATAACTTTGCTGTGTAGACAACCCCATGAGTTCTTTGAAGGGGTTAACAAACATGTGGACAAGGGGGATCCAGTAGATATAGTGTACTTAGATTTCCTGAAAGCCTTTGACAAGGTCCCTCACCAAAGGCTCTTACATAAATTAAGTTGTCATGGGATAAGAGGGAAGATCCTTTCATGGATTGAGAACTGGTTAAAAGACAGGAAACAAAGGGCAGGAATAAATGGTAAATTTTCAGAATGGAGAGGGGTAACTAGTGGTGTTCCCAAAAGGTCAGCCCTAGGACCAATCCTATTCAACTGATTCATAAATGATCTGGAGAAAGGGGTAAACAGTGAGGTGGCAAAGTTTGCAGACGATACTAAACTGCTCAAGGTAGTTAAGACCAAAGCAGACTGTGAAGAATTTCAAAAAGATCTCACCAAACTAAGTGACTGGGCAACAAAATGGCAAATTAAATGTAATATGGATAAATGTAAAGTAATGCATGTTGGAAAAAATAACCCCAACTATACATATAATATGATGGGGGCTAATTTAGCTACAACTAATCAGGAAAGAGATCATGGAGTCATCGTGGATAGTTCTCGGAAGACATCCACGCAGTGTGCAGCGGCAGTCAAAAAGCAAACAGGATGTTAGGAATCATTAAAAAAGGGCTAGAGAATAAGACAGAGAATATCTTATATAAATCCATGCTACACCCACATCTTGAATACTGTGTACAGATGTGGTCTCCTCATCTCAAAAAAATATACTGGCATTAGAAAAGGTTCAGAGAAGGGCAACTAAAATGATGAGGAGTTTGGAACAGGTCCCATATGAGAAGAGATTAAGGAGACTGGGACTTTTTGGCTAGGAAAAGAGGAGACTAAGGGGGGATATGACAGAGGTCTATAAAATCATGAGTGATGTGGAAAAAGTGAATAATGAAAAGTTATTTACTTGTTCCCATAATATAAGAACTAGGGGCCACCAAATGAAACTAAAGGGCAGCAGGGTTAAAACAAAGAAAAGGAAGTTCTTCTTCACACAGCACATAGCCAATCTGTGGAACTCCTTGCCTAAGGAGGTTGTGAGGGCTAGGAATATGACAGGGTTTAAAAGAGAACTAGATACAGCCGGTCCCCAAGTTGCGAATGGTCGACTTACGACCGTTCGCAGTTACGACCAAAAATGTCGTAAACGGCGGACTCCAAGTTATGAACGCGATCCGCGCTTATGAACGGCGCGGTCATGTGTAACTCAATGGGGTCCAATTTATGAACAAACCAAGTTACGACCAATTGTTTGGTCCGTAACCGGTTTGTAAGTCGGAGACAGGCTGTAAATTCATGGAGGTTAAGTCCATTCCTGTCTATTAGCCAGGATGGGTAAGGAATGGTGTCCCTAGCCTGTTTGTCAGAGGGTGGAGATGGATGACAGGAGAGAGATCACTTGATCATTATCTGTACGATTCATTTCTTCTTGGACACCTGGCATTGGCCACTGTCAGCAGACAGGGTACTAGGTGGATGGACCTTTGGTCTGACCCAATATTGCCATTTTTATGTTCTTAGAACAGCTGGTCGTTTTTTCTAGGTGCTGGGGAGCAGGAACAAAGTGCTCCCCTACCCCCAGGCCTATCAAGGTCATGGGCAGAGGAGCACAGGAAGTGTCCTGGCCCCTTCCACCCAAGGCCCGGCTCAGACCACTTCAGAAATTTGTGAAGTGGCCCCCTTCAAAAATTATTACCCACCTCTGGTCTGGACCAAACACGCTTTTTATCTGCCTCATCATTCCCAGCCTTTTTCATGACAAGCTGGTCAGGTGAGAGATAACAATGTAACATGAAGATACAGACACATGGAGTAATTCAGACTCCATAGACATGGAGAAGCAGATGGGACCCTGGGACCAAGCTGTGACACAGATGCTGTTATGTGGAATCCAGATATTGCTCGCTTTGTGAGGTAGTATGTGGGGCATAAGCAACAGCCTGTAATGTGGATACCATGACATGGGACCCCAGAAACAGATGCAGGGATGCAGCCTTCAGGCCATGATGTGTAATATGGGAACATGGGCACTCTGCAATAGGGAAACAAAGCCATCCAGCGATGTAGGTGTCAAGCCGTGAGTTGTGACATGAAAACATGGGTGCCATACCATGAGGACAAAGAGCCACTCAGGGATGCAGGCACCAAGCTGTCACGCGTGACAGAGGGAAAAGAGGACACAAAGCCATGCAAGCGCCAGGCTGTCATGTGAGACACAGGAACAAGAAGACACAGAGCCATGCAGGGATGCAGGCGCCAGGCTGTCATACGTGTCCCAAGAACACACCGGGATGCAGGCGCCAGGCTGTCATACGTGTCCCAAGAACACACCGGGATGCAGGCGCCAGGCTGTCATACGTGTCCCAAGAACACACCGGGATGCAGGCGCCAGGCTGTCATACGTGTCCCAAGAACACACCGGGATGCAGGCGCCAGGCTGTCATACGTGTCCCAAGAACACACCGGGATGCAGGCGCCAGGCTGTCATACGTGTCCCAAGAACACACCGGGATGCAGGCGCCAGGCTGTCATACGTGTCCCAAGAACACACCGGGATGCAGGCGCCAGGCTGTCATACGTGTCCCAAGAACACACCGGGATGCAGGCGCCAGGCTGTCATACGTGTCCCAAGAACACACCGGGATGCAGGCGCCAGGCTGTCATACGTGTCCCAAGAACACACCGGGATGCAGGCGCCAGGCTGTCATACGTGTCCCAAGAACACACCGGGATGCAGGCGCCAGGCTGTCATACGTGTCCCAAGAACACACCGGGATGCAGGCGCCAGGCTGTCATACGTGTCCCAAGAACACACCGGGATGCAGGCGCCAGGCTGTCATACGTGTCCCAAGAACACACCGGGATGCAGGCGCCAGGCTGTCATACGTGTCCCAAGAACACACCGGGATGCAGGCGCCAGGCTGTCATACGTGTCCCAAGAACACACCGGGATGCAGGCGCCAGGCTGTCATACGTGTCCCAAGAACACACCGGGATGCAGGCGCCAGGCTGTCATACGTGTCCCAAGAACACACCGGGATGCAGGCGCCAGGCTGTCATACGTGTCCCAAGAACACACCGGGATGCAGGCGCCAGGCTGTCATACGTGTCCCAAGAACACACCGGGATGCAGGCGCCAGGCTGTCATACGTGTCCCAAGAACACACCGGGATGCAGGCGCCAGGCTGTCATACGTGTCCCAAGAACACACCGGGATGCAGGCGCCAGGCTGTCATACGTGTCCCAAGAACACACCGGGATGCAGGCGCCAGGCTGTCATACGTGTCCCAAGAACACACCGGGATGCAGGCGCCAGGCTGTCATACGTGTCCCAAGAACACACCGGGATGCAGGCGCCAGGCTGTCATACGTGTCCCAAGAACACACCGGGATGCAGGCGCCAGGCTGTCATACGTGTCCCAAGAACACACCGGGATGCAGGCGCCAGGCTGTCATACGTGTCCCAAGAACACACCGGGATGCAGGCGCCAGGCTGTCATACGTGTCCCAAGAACACACCGGGATGCAGGCGCCAGGCTGTCATACGTGTCCCAAGAACACACCGGGATGCAGGCGCCAGGCTGTCATACGTGTCCCAAGAACACACCGGGATGCAGGCGCCAGGCTGTCATACGTGTCCCAAGAACACACCGGGATGCAGGCGCCAGGCTGTCATACGTGTCCCAAGAACACACCGGGATGCAGGCGCCAGGCTGTCATACGTGTCCCAAGAACACACCGGGATGCAGGCGCCAGGCTGTCATACGTGTCCCAAGAACACACCGGGATGCAGGCGCCAGGCTGTCATACGTGTCCCAAGAACACACCGGGATGCAGGCGCCAGGCTGTCATACGTGTCCCAAGAACACACCGGGATGCAGGCGCCAGGCTGTCATACGTGTCCCAAGAACACACCGGGATGCAGGCGCCAGGCTGTCATACGTGTCCCAAGAACACACCGGGATGCAGGCTCGCAGCATCCGCTGCTCTCCCGCTCCCGGGCAGGGGGCCGCGATGTCTCTGAGAAGGGATCCTGGCTTCCCAGGCAGACTCAGTTCTGGGGCAGGGGGCTGGAAGGGCGTTTGTAACCACTGGGAAGCGCTGAACAAAAGCCCTGTGCGTGCAGCCCATCGCTATTCCTACTGCGAGCCAGCCCCCTCGTGCTCTGAGCCGCGGAGATGTGTAGGGAGCTGGGAAATAGACACACAAAAGGGGTTTGTTTGCTCGTCTAGCTATTCCCAGCTGTTGCCCTAGCAAAGAGGAAGGATGGTCCAGGGATTAAGATTCTACTCAAGGATTTGGGTGGCCTGAAATCATTTCCTGCTCTGCCACAGACTTCCTGTGTAACCTTGATCAAATCACTTAGTGGCGATCTACCTTATAGAGGTGTTATAAAGGTATATACATCAAAGATTCTGAGATGCTCGTAAGTTCCTAGCTTGGGTAGGTGTGCATCTCTCTCAGAAGAGGATTTTTTCTAGTATTTTACTATTCTGAAGGAATTGATCTTGAGACACTGCATAACTGTCATCAACAGCTTTTCTCTTCACTCCAAACACTGCTGATCACACTGAACACTCATTACATTGAACTGTTTGTACCTGGGAAAAGCAGGCCAAACTCTACTCTCTATAGAGGTATATCTTGAGCAAAGAAGCATCTACACCAGAAGTATTTACTTATACAAACAACTAGTAATTGTGTTATATAAATTCTTCAGTCTTTAAACCTTCTTTTGTATGCAAGAGAGAGAGTACTGCCAAACTAAACTTCTATTTTTGATTGGCTCACTTTTAATAAATCATTTATGATAACATGTTTTAACAACCTACTTTCAGTGGTTGGTCCTTTTAGTATTTTGGAATTCTTCAGACTTGCATCTTCAAGCTGTTTAAACATTGACAGGAATTTGTGCAAACCACCCAATGTTTCTAACTTTAAGCAAATTACAGGACTATGTAGCACTTTAAAGACTAACAAGATGGTTTATTAGATGATGAGCTTTCGTGGGCCAGACCCACTTCCTCAGATCAAATAGTGGGAGAAAATAGTCACAACCATATACACCAAAGGATACAATTAAAAAAAAAAGAACACATATGAAAAAGACAAATCAAATTTCAGAACAGAAGGGGGATGCGAGCGGGGGGAGGGGAGGAAGGTAAATGTCTGTGAGCTAATGATATTAGAGGTGATAATTGGGGAAGCTATCTTTGTAATGGGTAAGATAACTAGAGTCTTTGTTAAGACCCCCACGCAAAGTGTCGAATTTTAGCATGAATTTTAGCTTTGCGCGGGGGTCTTAACAAAGACTCTAGTTATCTTACCCATTACAAAGATAGCTTCCCCAATTATCACCTCTAATATCATTAGCTCACAGACATACACCTCCCCCCCATCCCCCTTCTGTTCTGAAATTTGATTTGTCCTTTTCATATGTGTTCTTTTTTTTTTTTTAATTGTATCCTTTGGTGTCTATGATTGTGACTATTTTCTTCCACTATTTGATCTGAGGAAGTGGGTCTGTCCCACGAAAGCTCATCATCTAATAAACCATCTTGTTAGTCTTTAAAGTGCTACATAGTCCTGTATTTTTCTTCAGCTACACCAGACTAACACGGCTACATTTCTATCACTATTCTAACTTTAAGCTGATTCAGTAATTTTCAGACATCTGTTATCAGGTATTATCTATGACTCACCATTATAGTTTTCAGGAAAACTAAGTCAAATGGTTGACCCTAGGTTTTGTTTGTTTAATAATTCAGTTTATCTGTGGCTAAAGCACAATCGCCAGATAAATTCAGAATAGTTGTGTTTGCTTACAGGCACCATAATACACTGTTTTAGTGAACTATGTACTCACTTTCTATGATTCAACAAAACGCTCAGAAAGGATGTAATAGGCAATTTCTAGGAAAAATGTAGGCCTCACCTTTGAATGACGTAAACACAATGTGATCTGAAATATGTTAGCAATTAATTTTGCAGAGTCACTTACTGGGAATAGTAATAATTCCAAGATATATGACTGTAAATATGAATCTGAAATTTGATAGTAACTATAAAATGCATAATCTGGAATATCCCCACATTTACAGATTTAAAGTTTAATCACAGTTGAATTATTTTATTTGCCAGAAGGTACTGAGCCCCAGAGAACTAAATCAACTAGGGATGTTAAATATCGGTTAACTGAATAGTCGAGAAACCTAATGAATTCTTAGTGGTTAGTCGACTATTCTATAGCCCCTGGGGGTGGGGCAAGCAACCAGTGCACTTTGCCCTCACTCCTGAGGAGCCAAGCTCCCCTTGCGGACTGGCTGCCTGTCGCCCAGTGCTGTTGCCTCTGATAAAGAGGCAGCAACTTGGGGTGGCAGCAGCCCCTGTCTAGGGAACATCTGAGCTTCCGGACCTGGTGTGAGCCGAAAACGAGTTGGCTTCCTGCCCATGTAGCTCCTAATACACTTCAAATGTAGAGCCACAGCAGGGATAGGTCCCGGACCAGGTGCGAGCCAGGACTGAGCCGGGCTGCCTGCTTCCCACCCAGCTCCTAATACACTTTAAATGCAGAGCTGCAGCGGGGTAGGTCCCAGACCCATTGCAAGTCAGGAGTGAGCCAGGCTGCTGGACAGCCTACTAAAAAATGTACTGGCCCGGGAGTGGGGGGTGAATGCGTGTAGTCTATAGCATTAACCTATACGCTTTTGCTTAGCGGTTAATCAGTTAATTGACTATACTATTACATCCCTAAAATCAACCCTTAGTTCATTGTAACGGACCTAAAGATGAGTTGGCTTGTGAACTCTGTGAGTAGCGGGCTTATCTGGAAATAGGAGTTTACAGTGTGAGACCAGCATTAAGACTAAAGATTCATCCAGCAAATCCTGGGAGCTGCCTCATTTGAAGTGAAAAGTTGTCAGGGCACTTTCATATTTTCCTTACCTTTATTTTGCAGATGACAGAAAAGGGTAAGTACGGTATTCTCACAAAAGGGCACAAACGTGAATTCATGTTATTCTGCCATCTATATCAGAATGGAGAGACAGGAAAAATCCAGATACGTCTTAAGAATTTTTCCTTTCCACTTCTGTTATTTGACAAGGGAAGGATGAAATGCAAACCTCCAGGCCTGTTCAGCCCATGCATACGTAACCAACGTAAACCAATTACTGTGCCATTGATTTTAGTGTAAACCAGGCTAGTTTACATCATATACCTCAGTAGAGACTTCAGATATTAAAACTAAAGACTGCTGACTGCAGTCATTCTACAACAAAATCCGCCCCATGTACAAGCTAATTCCACAAGAGAAGTAACACTCATTTGGAAGATTTTTTTCCTTTCCTGAAATGTCTATGCTTTGTGGCCTAATTCATCTGTTCATAGCATCTGGTATTAGAGCAAAGTTAATTTCAAAAAATCAGTTCACCGTAGACTTCAGAATGGTGCGTTGGCAGCTTCTGTTATGAGTTTATTAGTATAGAAGTAAGAATGCCTCAGTTTCATACAGTACATGTCACTATTCCTCCTGCAACCTCTGTGTTTTGGTTGCAACATATATCAGTATACTGTAGTGTCACTTTTCAGATGCTGGCCTCAGTAGACAATGACCTTTTTGCAATAAAGTACCTTTTTTTTCCTCAGAACAGTTTCCCCCTTGGGGAAGTTGCATCTTAGAAACAGCAGTATTTTGAAACTATTCAGGGCATCTTTTTACTATCACTACCTAGTGAGTTTTACTACTGTAGAGTTCAGCATGAATATGTTCCTCTGTGAACCATTTTATCCTCTTCTTCAGCCGCTAATGAAGGACGAGCTCCTCACTTGCAATAGTTACACAAATGGTCCCATGGACTTTAAGTGGAATTAATAAGGTGAGCCGGTTTGGCTACAAATGGATCAGCGAAAAAAGACTGGAGAAATACAACTGGCCACTGAGGTTACATTGAAACAGCACTCTAGGGTACCAAATTTCTGTTCGAGACAATGGATACAATACATTTATGTTGGGGATTTAGTGTAAGATTTTGTTCTTACTCCAATGCCAAGATTTCATTGTCTGGAGAGAGATTCAGCTCTCCTCTTGGAAAAGGGAAGGTTCAGTATTTATCACATCGCTGGGGTGGAGGCTTTGTACATAAGTGTGAGAGGGCTGACTGATTAGTCTCCCAGTCTTCACCTTTGCAGTGTACTTTCCTCATTCAATTAATAATTATTAAGTATTTGTATTGCAGTAGCAGCTAAACACATAACAGACTGAGTTAATATTATGGCTTACAGAAGGCTCTATACTGCATTTTTATTTCCTACCATCTGGATGGGATTTTTTTTTTTATTAAATCACGAAGTATTTATTGTCCTCTGTTAAAGTAGTTTGCACCAGTTTGTGGTGTTCAAATGTTGTCATAAAAGAGTATTCTGGCATATTTCTCAACAGTTTTTCCTCCTTTTTGTGTAGGAACTTGAAAAAAAATTAAAGAGTTCATCAAGCACTGAACTACTGCTGGATATTTTGCAGAAGGTAAAATGTGTTATTTTAATATCATCGGATTTCAGTACACATCACTGAACAGACTGGAACTATCCTAAAGATATGATGCCATCTAGTGTAATGAAATGCAGTGCATTGTAGTCTTTTAAAATTGTACTCTATTTAAAAAACTAGCGTGTCAGCTCTAATACTAATCACCATGTATGCCTAATAGAATAGCAGATTTCCTTTTATTCATGTTAAATAACTATCCTTCATAGGAAAGGGAGATGGAAAACAATAAAAGGATGGTTTTATTTATGTTGACATTTTAAAAATGGTCAGAGACTGTAGTGTTCATGCAAAGTGTCAGATGCTAAATTTCTCTATTGATTCATAGAGGAAATACAGGGAGGGATCCAGCAATGTAAACTTTCCAGAATACTCAACCAGTGTGTCTTAACATTGACATAAGGGGTCATCTCTAAGGATGAGAGTTTTCATTCACTCTCCGTTTCCATTCGGTCCCTGGCTGCCTCTAAGGCTACACTAAGAATGTCACTAGAAATGTAGAGGTGTAGGGTAGGTTGTGTTGGGAACTCTGTCCAGTAGGGCTTGGACTGAGACCATGAGTAGGGCCTCATCAAATTCACATTCCATGTACGTCAATTTCATAGTTATAGGATTTTAAAACAAGCAGATTTCATGATTTCAAGAATTTAAATCTGAAATGTTAGGGTGTTGACATTTTAGGGGTCCTGACCAGGCTGTCCTTAGGGGGGTGCTGAGTCCTGGGCAGCTTCCCCCCATCACAGGCCCCTTCCTGCCCCTGCTTTGCCACCTCCTGACCCCCCATTGAACCACTTGCCCGAAGCCTGAGCACCATGAGCTGGGGGGATTACTGAGGGACGGGGGGTGGGGCCTGAGACAGGGAAGCAACAGGCACCCTCCATCCTGCTCTCACCACAGTAGCAGGAGCTGGAGCTGGAGCTGGAGCGATCCAGCAGCCTAATCCACTCATCTGCCCATCCCCCAGCTTGCTGCGCTCCACCTCACCGCATTGGCAGGAAGCAGGGCACCCTGGCCCCAGCTCCACTTCCCACTACTGTGGTGAAGCAGAGTACAGTGGGCTGGGAAATGAAGGGGAGAGCGGAGCAGGCTGCCGGGTCAATTAGCTCCTGCCACCATGGTGAGCAAGAGGTGAGGTGACCCTTGCTGCTGCCCCGCACCAGGCCTCTCTGGGACTTGCAGGTTGATGCAAACACCACAGCCCTACCCTCCTATGGATGGGATGGTTCTGGTCCTGACCCAAAAAGGAGTTGTGGGGTTCGCAAAGTTATTATGGGGCGGGGGCTGTGGCACTGCTGCCCTTAACTAGAATGTCCAAAAAGGCAGTAATTCCTTTTAATGGGCTTGTGCCCTCAGAACAGTGGCATTAAAACTTTGTTTTACCTGTCTTGTTTTTATAAATATCAAGTTTTGGCTTTTTAGAGCTGGTGGGGAGTTTTCAAAATGGCAACGACAAAACAAACCAAAAATACAAGGAAAAAACTAACTTTAATTTTTCTTACAGATTTGGGACAATATATTGTCTGTTGATTGATAAGGTGTCCTCATTCATATTTGGAAATAGGGTACTACATGCTTCCGTGTGGTACAACTCCTGGGAAAACAGTTATTCCCATTTTCTGTCTGTCACTTCTGTTTGTAGTTTACTCCCTACTTGGTTTCTAAAGGATAGTAGATAGTCTTTAGTATCATATTTTTGTCGTATTGTCACAGCGGACATCTCCTTCTGAACAAAAGTGTGTTCCCAACTCTGGAGCACAAGGGGCATTCAAGCAGCACCAGATGCCCCAGAGACGGTGGACTGAAGACAATGATCAAGCGATTTGTCTCCTGCCATCCCTCTCCAGCCTCTGACAAACAGAGGCCAAGGACACCATTTTATCCCCTGGCTAATAGCCTTTTATGGACCTAACCTCCATGAAATTATCTAGCTTCTCTTTAAACTCTATTATAGTCCTAGCCTTCACAGCCTCCTCTGGCAAGGAGTTCCACAGGTTGACTACATGCTGTGTGAAGAAGAACTTTCTTTTATTAGTTTTAAACCTGCTACCCATTAATTTCATTTGGTGTCCTCTAGTTCTTCTATTATGGGAACTAATAAATAACTTTTCTTTATCCGCCCTCTCCACACCACTTATGATTTTATATACCTCTATCATATCCCCCCTCAGTCTCCTTTTTTCTAAACTGAAAAGTCCCAGTCTCTTTAGCCTCTCCTCATATGGGACCCGTTCCAAACCCCTAATCATTTTAGTTGCCCTTTTCTGAACCCTTTCCAAGGCCAAAATATCTTTTTTGAGGTGAGGAGACCACATCTGTACACAGTATTCAAGATGTGGGCGTACCATAGTTTTATACAGGGGCAGTAAGATATTCTGTGTCTTATTTTCTATCCCTTTCGTAATAATTCCTAACATCCTATTTGCCTTTTTGACCGCTGCAACACAGTGTGTGGATGTTTTCAAAGAGCTATCCACGATAACGCCAAGATCTCTATCCTGATTTGTCATAGCCAAATTAGCCTCCATCATATTATATGTATAGTTGGGGTTATTTTTTCTAACGTGCATTAATTTACACTTATCCACATTAAACTTCATTTGCCTATAAAACTATATTTTAATCACCTTCCACATGTGGAACCCCTGGCTGAGATGCCCACATGTAAGGAGAGCACAGCTTTGGAAGAACAGGCCCATCATGCCTAGCCAAGCGCAGAATACAGCCTAGGCCACCTTATAGAAAGGGAACTATAACTATTCAGAGTAAATCAAGGCACCTAATTCACCATAACATTGTTGTTAGAACTAATGACCTACCTTGCCAACTTTTCACTTTCTGGAGGACCAGTGTGACTAACCTTTTCTTAATGAGCATTGCATCGATTCAAAACAAAGGATAGGCCTGTGTGACAACAGTGTCTTTCCTGAGTCCAGTTTGGAACTAGCGTGCGTGCCTGTGTGTACTCAAGCTGGGAATGGCACCCCCAACTCCAACTATAGATGGAGCCTTCCTGTTTATTGACTTTTTATAGGTGTGGAGCATGGAAGAAAACTGGGAGGAAAGAGCCACTCGGACTCAGTTTCCTTTCAGTTTGACTGTTGAGTTTTGAAGGACAAAGAAGAAGAAAGGTTTCCGAGAGGTAGCCATGTTAGTCTGTTTCACCAAAACCAACAAGGAGTCTAATGGTACTTTAAAAACTAATACATTTATTATGATAATGCCCTAATATCCGAAAATATTTGTTTGGCTTTAAAGTACAAGATGTGTGGCTTGCTTGCATCTGTGACCAACCGGAGGTACCAGAACTCACTACAGGAATGTACATGGAATTTGATTTTCCAGCTGAGTATCAAATAGCTTAGCTGCAAATTGCAATCACCTAGCATTCCCGAGGCACAAAGTGAACCAAGCAAATTGGTAGTTATCTTTTTCTCCTTGGTTCCTTCAGCGCTGCTCATAAAATTCTCACCTGATCGCTGCTTGGTCTTCAGGTGTTGTTTTATCATTTCAGACTATTCTTCACCCCTTGTGCATGAAATATCCCCCTTCCGTGAAGTACAGAAGATGCTTCATAGCTGAACTCATTAAAAAGGTAGCGTGGGGGTTATATATTGCTTGGCACTCTTTCTCCATTAGACCAGTTATTAAAAGTAACTTGAAAATATGTTTTTCACAATATTGGCCCAGGCTCAGCTGATCACTTGTTATAACACAAATTAGTATTTAATTGTTTATTGTCTGTGCTTTGTTAATAATGTCTGGAGATCTGAAGTTCTTCGCTGATCTCTGTTCTCTTTCCCACAGCATGAGTCCATAGCAACCGAACCCTTGGATGAATTGTATGATGTCCTAGGAGACATTTTAAATAAAGAGGAATCCACCAACTGTTATAAAAGCTACTTACTGGTAAAAGCTAATGATACCGCCATTGTTATATGTCAGTTTTTACCACTGAAACTGAGCCATAATTGGTTTAAAAATAAATCCTCAAAACCCCAGGTGTAAAATATTCACCTTCTTCCAGACACTAATGTTGCTTTAAAATTGTGAAATATGGTGGATGTACCAATGCATCTTTCTTTCCCGGTGTGTGTCTTCTAGGCCACAGGAGACTCTGTTACGCTTCTGGAGACAGTGGCAATAATCTCACAGGGAACCACAGGACTAGTCACGTGGGATGCTGCTCTTTATCTCGCTGAATGGGCAATAGAGAATTCTGCCATTTTCAGCAACAGGTAATGGAGCGCTAGTTACACGAAAGCACAGCTAGACAACTGGGGGGAACGGCGTTAACGTCAGTGTTTGCATCCCTCATGTAAATGAGTTATGTGACTGTAGTTTACCGTTATTCTGTGCATGCCCGTAAGATGAGCAAGAACTGTAGCATTGGAAAAGATTCAGAAAAGGGCAACAAAAATGATTGGGGATTTGGAATGGGTCCTATATGAAGAGAGATTAAAAAGATTTGGACTTTTCGTTTTACAAAGGAGGAGACTAAGAGGAGATATGACAGAGGTCTATAAAATCATGACTGGTATGGGAAAAGTGAATAAAGAAAAGTTATTTACTTATTCCCACAATAAAAGAACTAGGGGTCACAAAATAAAAATAGGCAGCAGGTTTAAAACAAACAAAAGGAAGTTTTCTTCACTCAGCACACAGTCAACCTGTGGAACTCCTTGCCAGAGGATGTGGTGAAGACTAGGATTTTAACAGGGTTCCAAAAAAAGCTAGATAGATGGCGGTTAGGTCCATCAATGGCTATTAGCCAGGATGGGTAGGAATGGTGTCCCTAGCCTCTGTTTATCTAGAGATGGGTGACAGGAGAGGGATCACATGATGATTTCCTGTTGCGTTCTCTCCCTCTGGGGCATCTGGTATTGGCCATTGTCAGGAGACAGGATGCTGGGCTAGATAGACCTTTGGTCTGACCCAGTGTGGCTGTGCTTATGTTCTTATTGATGGGCTGACTGTTGCTCTTTCTGTCATTGGCTTGTTATAGTTGAGATTTAATCTAAGAGGAGATTTAAGGATTATCTGATGGAAGAATTTTCTGGCTCCATTGGTAAGTGACATAGGAGCCAATGCCCTGCTGCCAAACAGACTATATTCAGCCTGTCATGTGCTTAGGCTTCATCCTGTCATTTCTTTATCCTTCAACCCAAACTCTTTCCTTAAGGAATACTGCAGTTGTTTAGGGCAGTCCAACGAGGTACAGTTGAGAGCTTTTCAGCATTACAGCCAGCATCCGGGTCCAGTCAGGTCTCAAGGGTGCTGGACCAGGGAGGTTCCACCTGTACTAACATAACTCTAATTGCGTAGCTTAGCTCTACCTTTCCCTCCGCAGTATAGATCTGTCCTAGGGCATGAAATTTAAGGAGAGAACATTTTGGTCTGGATATATACATAATACCACAGGGAAGAGTCCTGTACTGGTCCCTAGGACCAATTTAGTTTTATACATATTTTCACTCTCTAATTTCTATTGTTATAATGGAATTCTAGTTATTTTTTATTCCTGGTACTTATTTGAAGCAAAGAGTGGAATTTGGATAGTTTATTCAAGAATCACTGAAATAAAGTGCCACGAGTTTTGCTCTGAGTTGCATACGCTTCTGGTTGCTTTGATTTGGTAACTGAATCTTGTTTAGACCCTTGTGTAAATACTTATTTTAATCCATTAAACTTCAGGACCATCTTGGAATTAGGAAGTGGGACTGGCCTCACAGGAATTGCAATCTGTAAAACTTGTCATCCCAAGGCATATGTATTTAGTGACTGCCATCACTGTGTTCTTGGACAACTAAAGGAAAACATCCATTTAAATGGCTTTGTTTTGGAGTCTGAAACTGTGAATCACGCCAAACAGCAATCCCAGAGCCAGAGGGCAGAACTGACAGATTTACAAGGACCAAAAATAACAGTTGCAGAACTTGACTGGGATTCCGTCACAAAGGAACAACTTTCAAAGCTTCAAGCTGACGTTGTCATTGCAGCAGGTACAGTACCTATGTGATTACATCTCACTAAATAATCTCCTAGCACAAATGGTGAAATAATGAGAGAAAAATGCACAAATAATAATTCCTGGACTTTATTCAGTCAAGATAACTGGTGAGTCAACTACAAAGTCTGAAGTGTGAGGGATGTAATTCTGCCTCGTTTTACCATGCTGTCTTCAGCCCAGTATTCAACGGTTGTTCACTCGTCCTTGAAAAGCAATTCATTTCTCTTTTGTCACTTCTTCTGTTGTAAAATTGGAGATTCATTCTACATTTCCAGAGTACTGCTAGCTGGCATTCTCAGCAAGGATAGTATATATTAATTTTACTTTTTTAGCACTTGCTCATCTGATAATGTTGAGGAGTTTAATAGTAAATCTAATAATAATAAATCTAACAATACTCAGGGCTTGTCTTGACGAATAGCATGTGGTAAGCAGGGGTGTAAATCTGCACCACACACTTACTGTCTGTCCCTGCCACCACACACTAAACATTCTCTAGTGAACTTTGATGTATCCCAAGTTTCAATGTCAGTTACGGCAAAGTGAACTACAGAACTTTCAGTGTGTGATAGCAGAGTACACATGGCTAGTGGACAGCACACTGTGTGTGCAATGTAGAGGTACACCCACCTTGCACCATACAAACTTGTCCTTCTAGACAAGATGCAGAACTGCACAGATGTGGCAGAAGTTCAGCCCATATTTTGGGTGTGGGGGAACTAATCAAGCTGCGTAGGAGTTCAGCTGAGATGCTCAAAGGTGTGTGAGGAGAAATTCAATGTATCACTTGTAGACCATTAGTTATAAACAGATGTTTATTCTTAAAATAAAGAATAAGCATCTGTTTATAACTAATGGTCTACAAGTGATACATTGCATTACCCTCTTTACCTACCAACATTAATGCAATTTTAAAACAGATTGTGATAGTCCATCCCTACCACCACTCCCTCTCAGCTGAGGTATGCACCCTTGCAGGCCCCACCAGCCACCACTTAAATATGATCAATATGTTAATAGAAAGTCCACGAGGAGTAACATGGAACAGCCTCAGCCTGATTCTTTTCCACCCGTCGTTTGTCCCAGCCTCTTTGCAGACTTGTACTCTTCTTCTCCCTGAGGAGAGGATGCTAGCCCTTTGATAGGTCCAGAGCTTTTGCTTTCTGGCATCATCTTTGCAAAATAAGCCTTTAAATAGTCTTTGCCATCCAACATCATCTCCTAAAAACTCAACCTTGCCAGAACTCCTGCTTCAGGCTGGCCTATCTCTAGGGCCAAGGAGAACCTGTCAAATCCTTCTTGTTTTCTATTATCTTTTCAGGCCAGGTCTACGCTACAGACCCATGTTAATATCACTGACTCGCTCAGGGATGAGAAAAATCCAGTTACACCAGCCTATTTACCCATGTAGACAGTGTTGTCAACAGGAGAGCTTCTCCCATCAACACAGCCACTGCCTTTCAGGAAGGTGGATTAACTATCCCCACGGGAGAAGCTTTTCTAAGAGCTACAACAGAGCAGCTTTGCCAAAGTGGTGTTTAAAGTGTAGATTTGCCCTCAATCTCCTTCCTAGCTGGGTATAATCACTAATCAGTCACAACTACAGTAATTCCTCATTTAACACAGTAGATACGTTTCAGAAAATGATCGTGCTAAGTGAAAACTTGTTATGCGGGGTCAATTTTCCTATTGAAAATGGAAAAGGTGGGGGTTGCGTTTCAAGCGCACGTGTGCTCGCAACTCCAGCCTGCACTTGTTAGCAGCTGGGACCGGGACATAAGGTTGGGGGAGAAAGTGGACTGGATTATAGCAGGGAGGGGAGGTGTTCGGCTCTGGAGAAGGGAAGGGAAGGACGGGAGAGGGCTTGCAGCCTGCGGCTGGGTTTCCCCAGCTGGCCGGTCACCGACAGCTGCGCGGGACATCCTCTGCCTCCTCTGTCTTGAGCCCTGCCAGAGGGGGTCACCGGGGAACGGCGCTGCGAGCGGCAAACCTCTGCCGCTTTGCAGGGAGGCAGGGGAAGCCTTGTGCAGCTGCTGGCCACCAGCTGGCCCTAGGGGACATCATGTTATTGTGGAGATGGGGTTGTGTTGTTTGAATAATGTTCCCTAAAAAAAAAACGTGCTATCGCGAAAACATGTTAAGCGGGCATATGTTAAGTGAGGAATTACTGTACATTCCTTTTGGTCTAGAGATGATCATAAGGGCTGATGCTGCTTCCCCCTAAATTACTGGACAGAGCATCCATTTTCCTTTTGCTGTGTATTTTACTCGGCTTTTTGTGTGTTAATAAATTATACCCTTTTTTTTACATAGATGTAGTGTATGATCCTGAGATAACTTTATCCCTCATCAGTGTCCTGCAGCAATTTTCCACTTCCAGAACTGCTGGAAAACCACCTGAGATCTACATTGCCTTCACAGTTCGTAATCCAGACACCTATCGCCTCTTCCAAACTGAACTTGGTGAGTGTCGCGCTGAGCGTGCTCCGAGATAGGTTTGGCCTTCCTCCCAGTTATAGTACTTTATCTTGTTACGGAGCTGAAGACGGCAAGCTTTGGTGGTGGGCATTGTCCAAAGGTAAGGAATCCTGTGGAATCCTGTAGGGGGTCTGAATAGGAACACAAGTCTACTCCCGCAGTGCTGATGTCAAGCATGGGGCCTCTTTTTCCTGCATTCTAATGAGACTAACACTTGCTATATTGCCTCCTCAGAACCAGCTGCAAGCTTGGTGACTGTTAGCTGAGCAGTCAATGGGGATTAATAACTAGTGCTCTCATGTTGTATGGGTAACATTCCATCTGCCATTTAAAACAGAGGTTTTGACCAATAGTCATTATTTAAATATAGACAGGCCAGGGTCAGATTCAATTAAATTGGAGGGTAGAGGAAGGAGGAGAGTTTGGGTTTTCTCTTATAGCTTCCTCAAAATCTAGATGGCTACAGAATACAAGCTGGACATGTGGTCCTTGAGAAGTGGATAATTAATAAAAAAGATGCTAAATATATTGCACAAGCATCTAAGAGAAATCTTAAAAATACTTACCCGGAATATTTGTGTCTCTTGCTTTCACAGCCAGTTATTAGTGAGCCATTATTACACAATTTGGCACACTGTAGTATGTTTTGTGCTTTACTAAGCAGAAGCATGATTATTCTTATTTCTGTTTCTCTCTCCAGGCAAAGTTGGGCTTGGATGGCAGGTTGTTCCTACTCACACAAAGAACCTTTTCCTATCTGACCTGCAGTCAAACATAACTCTGCTAAAATTACTAGTGGAGACTTTGTAAATCCAATATTACTTGCAGAAAAATTTTGATATTTATGATCATAATGTCCTTGAATTCTGGACACGTACTTGAGAAGCAGACTCAAAAAGCAAATTTTAAGCTCTGTACATTGTAAATGTTTTAGACAGCTTCTAGAGGGGCTCCATTGCAGGACCAAACCCTCATGCAGACTGAGACATTCTTCCAAGGGCGTATGGAAGTAAACTGTACTGTGTCTTTGGCATTGTGATATGCAAACACTGGAAATAAGTTTTGGGAGACCAAAAATAATGAATCTCTTTTCCTGGCATGGTGAAATAGAGCAACGAACATTTTCTCTGTTTTTATAGTAAAGAATTATTTATATTTGCTCTTGGTTTTGAGCTATGATCTGTTTATTTAGACTCTTTACTGTGCTTGTCTTCCTGTCACAACTTGAATAATAGAATAGCTACAATAAATGCATTACAATGCCATAGGTTTGCCTAGTATTTGAAGTATACATCAGGGGTTCAGATTCTGATTTAAATTGGAATTAAGTCCATAACTGTTGTGTATGTGAACTAAATCGCGCTGCAGGGCTCCATCCTATCAGGCCTACTGTCCTCATGGGAACTCTTGGGCAGTTTCATTTCTCATTGAAGTTCAGTTTCGGGCTGTTCAGCTCCTTGGAGCTTTGAGCCACATATTGGACAAACAGATGGGATTGGGGAATAGCAGGGGAGGGTCTGAACAGAGTCAAAGCCATTTGTTTTGTTGTAGGTGCGTCGTATTGATTGCCGTTGGGAGTGGGACGGAAGGTTAGAGTCGGTTGGGAGTGGAGTGAGCCTGGGCTGTGGTAGGCCCACGGGAAATAGGAATTCCAACTGGCTGTGCAGGAGAGGCAGGACATTAGCCCATGAGAAGATGGAGGTTGTGCCATACCCAGGATGAGGAAGGGGGTTCACACGACTGAGGAGGAGGTAGGCCTATCTTGGAAGTATCTTACTTTAAAATTCTGTGTCACATACAGACACGAGGAAGATCTCGTTTCCTTTAAACCACACAGTATGGACAGATTGAGTACAGGTTAGACCACCCTGAGCCGCACCCTAGGGGCCCTACTGGTACTGGATGAGGGATTTTGCCAGACCAGGGAGCGTCATTTCTGGCCCCCCCACCACCAACCTCCAGCAAGCCTTGGCCCAGCTGCCAGCCTCCTCGCCAGCTTCCCCTCATCACTGATCCCCGCTGCCCTGCCAGGCAGCCCTGCTGCTGCTGCAGACCAAGCTCCAAGTCCCGCTGGGAAGCCCCACTGCCGCTCACCAGGCTCCCACAGCCTGGTCAGCCCGCTGGGCTCCCAGGCACCAGCCTTCCACCAGGATTCTCTGATCCTGCAACATCCACGGTCCAGAGAGTTTCAACCTGTACGCTGTCAGCCCATTGCAGCCAAGGGG